TTGGCCCATTTGGAAGCCGTCCTTTCTCCCTCGAGCTGCCCATTCTTGCAGGTTCTCCTTCTGGAAGTCTTCCCAACAGATGTGCCACTCAGACATTTCTGCTTCTCTGAACCCTTCTGCCTTTCTGGCCAAATCTGCATGCTTTAGAGTTCCATGGCCAACTTACCAAGGGTTTCCACATATTTTCATGTCTGGGGCCATTGGATCAACCCACCGTGGCTTGGCTTCCTAATCTTCCCTCATAAGGTCTTGTCCAGGGCTAGGCACCCTGAGAAGTGCTCGGAATTGATTGATTCCTGTTAAGGCCCAAGATTGTCCTGAATGTCGTTAATTGAAACAATGGGGTGAGTGCAGATTAGACTATTCTTTTAAAGATTTATTTGTTTGCAAGGCAGAGTGACAGAGTGATGGAGAGAAGGAAAGAGAGAGTACTTTCATCTACTGGTTTACTCCTCAAATCCCCACAACAGCCAGGGCTTGGCCAGGCTGAAGTCAGGAGCCAGGAACTCCATCTGGACTCCTAAGTGGGCGGCAGAGACCCAAGCACTTGGGTCACCTTCTACTGCCTTCCCAGGCACATTCGGAGGAAGCTGGATTGGAAGCAGAGCAGCTGGGTCTCAAATCTGCACTCTAATTAGGGATGCCAGTATCTCAAGCACCGACCCACTGTGCCACAGCACCAGCCTGCAGATCAAACTATTAACAGACTTACCTCACCAGTGATGTTTTTTTCCAGGTAACTAATTTTGATGGCTCTGGAGAAGTTGTAAGTTTTCTTTTGACAATGCCATTCCCCATTTCTCCCCAGAATAAGTACTTGTCACTCCCAAACACACTAAATAATATGCTGTCATTTCAATATTACAGTTTGAGGCAAAGAGACATTTGCCAGTTTCCCTGACATAACACTTCCTGTTTGGAGAATATCAAATTGAACAATTTTGAGTTACAGGTCAGTGTGGATGAACATTTTGCTTTCTGTTTATATGCCACATACTTGGGTGAATAGGTAGCATTTTTTTTAAGATTTATTTATTTTATTTGAAATGTAGAGGGGCCAGCACTGTGGCAGTATAGGCTAAGCCTCCACCTTTGGCGCCGGCATCCCATATCGGCATTGGTTCATGTCCCGGCTGCTCCTCTTCCAATCCAGCTCTCTGCTTATGACCTGAGAAAGAAGTGGAAGTGGCCCAAGTCCTTAGGCCCCTGCATCTGTGTGGGAGATCCAAAAGACTCTCCTGGCTCCTGGCTTCAAATCAACTCAGCTCTGGCCATTGTAGCCATTTGGGGAATGAACCAATGGATGGAAGAACTTTCTCTGTCTCTCCTCTCTCTCTCTCTAACTCTGCCTCTCAAATTAAAGAAAAAAGGTGGAGTTACAGAGAGAGATCTTCCATCTGCTGGTTCACTCCCTAAGTGGCCAGAACGGCTGGAATTAGGCCAAACTGAAGCCAGGAGCTAGGAGCTTCTGAGCTTCCCATGTGGGAACAGGGGCCCAAACTCTTGGGCCATCCTGTGCTGCTTTCTCAGGTTCATTAGTAGGGAGCTGGTTTGGAAGTGGAGCAGCCGGAATTGAGCCGGCACCCACATGGGATGCCACCGCTGCAGGTGGCTGCTTAACTCACTGTGCCACAGTGCTAGCCCTGAGTCAGCATCTGTATTCTAGGAGTCAGTTCACTTTTTTCTGCAAAGAGCCAGACTGTAACTTTTTTAAGCCTCTCAAGCCAATATGTTTCTGTTGCAAAACTACTTAACTTTGCCCTTGTAGCATAAAAGCAATCATAGACAATCTGTGAATAAATGAGCATGACATTGTTCCAATACAACTTTATTTACAAAAATAGGTGGAGAGCCACATCTGGCCCCTACCCTCTTTTTTGAAGAGCCCTCCTTTAGTCTTCTTGAGCACTTGTTATTTCTGTGTGCTTTGAACGTCTTTATTTTACCTTGTGCTACTTTTTTTTCTGTGCTACTTTAAGCACAGTTTATTTTGGGTACAGGATAATCATTATGTCCCAAAAGGGTGAAAAATCAATGCACAAAATGAGGAATACACCTTATAATGAATGGATCACCCACATCCTTTCCTCTCTCGATTCCACCCACACTCAGTCTTCCTTTATTCCTTTTTGTGAGTAAAAGAAACCTTCATTACATTACAGGAACAAACTATTTCTTTTCAGCATTTGAAAGTTGTTTATAGACTTTTTCATTGTTCAGTTAATATTTTTCAGTGGTACATTTTCTTTCTTTCTTTATTTATTTATTTTTGAAAGGCAGAGAGACAGGGAGAGTAAGATCTCCCATCCATGTGCTGGTTCATTCCCCAAATGCCTGCAATAGCTAAGGCTGGACTAGGCCAAAGCCAGGAGCCAGGGACTCAATCCAGGTTTCCCATATGAATGGCAGAGACCTAAGCACTTGAGCCATGACTTGCGGTCTCCCAGGGTGGGCATTAGCAGGAAGCTGCAATCAGGAGCTGAGCAGGAACTCAAACCCAGGCATTCTAATGTGGTATGTGGGCGTCTTAAGCAGTCTCTTAGCAGCTGTGCCAAATGCTACACAATACATTTTCTTATTGCTGTTTGCATATCTTAGTTTGTGATGGAAGGCATTGCAGTTTTCCTATTGCAGTTAATGGAAATATATTTTCTTACAATTTAACAGCTTTTTACTCAGCAGTTGAATGTTCAGGAATGAATGCCAATTTACAAGTGATGGACAGGTATCCTCAACTCTGAAGGATTCAAAAGTCCCAATAGGTGACAGCTACTCCGGCGGGTGTTCCAAGGCCACCATTCTATGTCAATCAGGACCCGGAAGATGTGAGGAGATGTGGAAGGGAGAAAGAGGGAGGAGGTGGGCTCTGGTGTCATGCTTGAGTCGCTGTCCCCTTTCTGTGCTCAGGAAGCTTTGTCAAGCTGCAGACGTGTAGTATATGAAAATGACCCTGCCTCCCCCCCGTCCATGTCTGATTTTCCCACCTCACCTGAGCCCATTTCTTGATCTCAGTGTCCTCTTTATTTTTTTAAGATTTATTTATGTACTTGAAAGGCGGAGTTACAGATAGAGGGAGAGACAGAGAGGTCTTCCATCCTCTGGTTCACTCCAAAATGCCCACAACGGCTGGAGCTGGGCTGATCCAAAGCCAGGAGCCAAGAGCTTCCTCTGGGTCTCCCACGCTGGTGCAGAGATCCAAGCACTTGGGCCATCTTCCATTGCTTTCCCAGGCCACAGCAGAGAGCTGGATTGGAAGTGGAGCAGCCGGGGCTTGAACCGGCACCCATATGGGATGCCAGTGCCGCAGGCAAAAGCTTAACCTACTATGCCACACTGCCAGTCCTCCATTGTCCTGATTTTTTTAAAGCCATTTTTATTTATGCATTTGAAAGGCAGAGAGCAAGCGAGTGAGCGAGTGAGCTTCCATCTGCTGGTTCACTCTCCAAATGGCTGCCAGGCTGAAACCAGGAGCCAAAGAGCTTCATCAGGGTCTCCCACTTGGGTGGCAGGGACCCAAACACCTGGGCCATATTTTGCTGCTCGTCCTACTATACCACAATGCCAGCCCCTCAGTGTCCTCGTTTGTATAACAGAGTTAAAACAGCCCTTTGCTATCAAGTATATAGGGTTACTGTGAAGTTAAAATGAAAGCATGTGTGTCTATCAGCTGAGCCTTAGAAGGGATTAGGAGGCTGAAAGAGCCCTACACACTAGCTTCTGAAGTTCCTGAAGTTGCCTTTTGAGAGTAAGTGGCTGCGGCTGCGGCTGCGGCTAAACCACCACCTGCAGAGTCTGTGGGGGCCCCAGTTCAAGTCCTGGCTGTTCTGCTTCCGATCCAGCTCCCTGCTGATGTGCCTGGGAAAGTGGTAGAAGATGACCCAAGTGCTTGGGCCCCTGCCACTCATGTGGGAGACCCAGGTGAAGTTCTTGGCTTTGACCTGGCACAGCCCTGGCTGTTGTGGCCATTTTGGGAGAGAATCAGCTGATGGAAGACCTCTCTCTCTAACTCTGCCATTCAAATAAATAAGTAAATCTTAAACAAAAAAGTGGCTAGGGCTAACCTGGATGATTTCCATGGTTCTTATTTTCCCTTTCTCTGTGATAGGCCAGGAGCAGTGGAAGCTAGGGATGTAGCCCTGAACCTGACATTGTTCATAACCTCATGGAGCTCACAATCTGAGTTAATGGAATCAAGCCCATAAACTCTTGAGAGAATACTATGATAGGGGCCAAAGTGCTGCTGGGATGTGTAATAACATACAGCAGTACAGTAACACCAACAGTCAAGGAGCACAGACTAGAATATCTGTGATGTCTTAGTAGACAAAGGCTAATGCTCTTCTGACTCTTGGGCAGCAAGAAATCAGGGCAGGATCGGAAATTAAAGTGGGGTATATTCTGTTGTAAGTCCATAAACTTGTGAGAATCCTGTGCTCAGGGCTTCAGACCTGACCCAGACTAGGCAAATAGGACATGTGTTCATGTCATACTGGGCTCATCAGTGCCTACTGAGCTCTGGTGTAAGCCCAGCAGCCACCTGTGCAGCAGTTTTGCTTTGAGAAAATTGCTCTAGTGGTTTCTAGAAATAGCTGAATCCTCCACCCACCTCTGCCGCCCTGTGACCTCCAGCAAAGCAAAAACAGGTAAGCAGTAATTGTGAATTGATGACATCTCTGTCACTGGGTAGTAAAACCTGTATCATTTCAGGAGCATTAGACTATCAGTTGTACTTCCCCCACAAAGAAGGCAGCTTTTCATCATTTAAATCATTATCATGATCAAAGAAAGCAGAGACTCACTCATTAATCAGTGTTGCCAATGAAATCCTTTGCCTTTGAATTCATCCTGGGGAATCTGCCGAAATGAATGCTTTACAGAAACACAAAAACACCCTAACCAATAGATGCTGCCCCTGGGGGACTGGAGATTGGAATACATGGGTACACTTTCCATCAAAACATGCAGCAGAAAAGTCTTTTACCATATCTTTTGTGGTGGCTAATAAGCTTAATTCATATACTTAGCTGTCTTTTGTACAATTCTTAGCACCACAAAGAGGAAATGCTTTTACTTCTTCCTTAAAAAAAAAGTTCCAGTCCAAACCATCAGCCTCTGTAGGTTGTCTTAATTGCTACTTTGCACAGCGCTGGACTATGACTCTGATTTTTGGCACATGCTATCATACACAAAGTTCCTAAAATAAAATGCTCCAGGATATCCTAGGAACTCTTAGAAGGCTTTAAAAAGGGACTCAGACACTGAAAGGCTATCTTTGATGAGGACAATTCAGGCAAGCACAGTGATTACTGCAGCAGAATTACGTGATTAATTGAGATCTTGAAGTGGGTCCGGCGAATCCCCGCCACCTAACTTATCATGGTTTGGGGGGGTTTGACAAGAATCCAGTTTTGATAAAGACAATTGTTTTTTCCTCCCCAAGTGACTATACATTTAAATAGCTAAAACATCTGTTCAGCAACATAGTAAAACATGTATACTCGGAACGCTTGAGAGAAGAGCCTGCCAAACAATCGGTTGAGAGGGACATTACTGAGGGAGAGCACCAAGATAAAGCAACCACTGTTTGTTTGGTCTAGTCAGTGGGAAAGCCAAGGCAACCAATATTTTAGGTTTCTTTGATTTCATTTCATTTGTGAAGAATTATTGGAGAAAAGGTGGTGAGGGGAGATTTCCCGGTGGGATTTTTTTTTTTTTTTTAGCTTTCCATTAGTGGAAGCCTTGGATGTCAACGCTTAACAGACTCTTGAGAGCAGCCACCAGACCACGAAAAGTGACTAAGATTCTTCTCGTGTGCTCTCTACGGCCCTTCTGATGGAAGCAGAAACAGGGAGCAATGCGGGAACTGGAAAGACGGCCACCAGAGGCACTCGAATTGCCCTGGTCGTATTCATCGGCGGCACTCTCGTGCTTGGCACGATCCTCTTTCTGGGTAAGTGGAGCCCTGGAGGCCGGGGGCACGGGGCATGTGCTGAGAAATCCCTTGTGCTTTATTCTAGCCTTGTCATAATGCAAGTGTGCGACTGTTTGCTTGTGTTAGAAGGTGATGCAGCCTTGGTTTCTATCAAATGGGCAAATGAAAAAGGCTTTGCTTTCAGAGGCTACATGCATAAATACAGTCAAGAACTGAATATGTACTGCAGAGGGCAAAGTGGGTATTAAGTGGTTGGAGGTGGCTGGGGTTTTGGGAACACCGGGCAAAAACCTTTTTGGGTACTACTTTAGAAAAAGCAAGTGTTTCTGAATTCATAGCCAGATACTTCCATTTATTTTGTGAGGAAGGACTTTACGTGGGGGTCAAAATTATGCTGGATTTTTTTTTCCATTGGACTTTTATTGTTTGCCTAAACAAATCACAACATTTCATCCACAAAATATAAATCCATCCTTTGAAGTGCATCCAAATGGGATTCTTTAGTTCCTTCCTACTACAGTGACTCTAATGAGATGTTAACACTGCCTTCCTAGTAGATTGAATAATTAGTATGAAGGAAAACAGATTTTCCTCCCAAGATTTGAAAGGTATTGTTATTCAGTTATTTTAATGACTTGGTGAGAACAATGTACCTAGGGAGTATATATGATGATAAAAGGTATTCCTAGGAAAAAGAGTCAAATGTCTTGGAAAGGGGTGAGGGTTGTTCTATAATTTTAGGCTGCCTGAACCCTTGACTATTACCCTTTTTATTTTTCTCACGCAACCTATAATATTTCATTAGCTTGAAAGTTACTTAGGAACCAGCCCTATACTTAGGAGATGCTGGGTGCAGCTTGAAATGTAGCAAGCCTGAAAACATCCCTTGGCATATACAGGATGCAGGAGGCCATGTTTATTTTGGCCAGGAAAACCAGTAATTACACTTTAAAAGACTTAGGGTTGTGTGGTTGAAAACTCTGCTAAAATGAGCAAGCCATCTTTCCATGTTTTCTGTGGCTGAAGATTTAGGAAATTAGACGGGTTTATTGCTTTCTGGTAAAGCTAAACCTCCTGCTCCTGCGACTGCATTTGCATCTCTTGAACACTGTTGTGCGAGTTCTCAGCACTTGGAGTTGTGACAAGTGTCCTCTCCTGAAATCCAAAACTGGACAAAAATTCTACGGGCACGCCAAGGGACCACATAGTATGTGGGAAATGACTACAAGGTTAAGCTTTGCAAACACTCCCCAATTTAAAAATCCAAATGATTATTGTTTATGTAAAAATGTGTAGCCTTCTTAGTGATGTTACCACTGCGTGACATGTTTGAAATCATGAAAGCAGGGTTACACTCTGCGGCCATGGCCTATTAGTTGGGGAGACTCTCCATGGCAGCAAATCTTTGTTCTTTGATAGAAAATGAGTCGTTGGAAACAGTGCTGAAGTTTGCAGAGCAAAGTCAGATTCACCCTGCGAAGCCATGTGATTATGGATAAGAAGGCTTGCAGCAGAGAGAACAGATCTGTTTTCTCTTTCTCAGGCCATTAGCAGGGAGCTGGATCAGAAGTGGAGCAGCTGGGACTCAACTGAAAGCCATTGGGAAACTCATATGGGATGCTGGTGTTGCAGGTCGTGGCTTAACCCACTGCACCACAATGGCGGCCCCACAATCTATATTTTCACAAGGTCCCCGCAGGATTGTTTTGCAAATGCAAGCCTGAGAAACATTGCTTCAGGTGGTCACGTGCACTTGGATTTAGGGACGCTTATCTTTGTGCAATATTTCTGTGCTATTTCAGACTCGTCTCCATACCCTGACCCTCCTCACTGCCTGTCCTCGGGCTCTTCCCTCGCCTCTACTCTGTACCTCCCAAAGTCCTTGTCTGAGAATCTCCAGGAATCTGTCTGGTGATGCTCTTTATGACAATATTCTAATTAGGGTCCTCTTTTCTTCGTGCTGCCTCCTGGTTGACTTTGTGCTATAGTTTCTGCCTAAGTTCAGTCACGTGTCTGGAATTTCTAGCATCCTTCCTTGTCTCTTCTTTGTGATTGGAGCTCTGGGATAGTCTTTCTTCCAGACCTCAGGCTTCTGGAAATAAGAACGATTGTCTGTGGCCTGGGGTAGTTTCAAAGAACCTAGAGTTCTGGAATGTAAAATGACACGTGTGCAAATATGCCTAAAGCCAGTTATTTTTCTTTCCTTTTTTTTTAAGATTTTATTTATTTACTTGAGAGGTAGAGTTATGGACAGAGAGAGGGAGAGACAGAGAGAAAGTTCTTCCACCTGCTATTTCACTCCCCAAATGGCCGAAATGGGTAGAGCTGGGCTGATCCAAACTCAGGAGCCAGGAGCTTCTTCAGGGTCTCCCACATGGGTGCAGGGGCCCAAGGACTTGGGCCATCTCCTACTGCTGTCCCAGGCCATAGCAGAGAGCTGGATCAGAAGAGGAGCAGCCAGGACTCGAACTGGCGCCCAAAGGCGGAGGCTTAGCCCACTACGCCACAGCGCCGGTCCCAAGCCATTTAATTTTCAAGTGTCTTTTCTATTTCTCTTTTTCCTCCCTTTCCTTTTCACAATCCATTTCTCAGATGCAGTGGTAAGCAGATTTTTTTTTTCTCAAGGTCCAGATAGTAAATATGAGGACACTTTAAAAAGTTGTAGAAAATGGAACTAAAAAATATGTTTGGGCACAAAAATTTTTTTTGAAATTCATCTACATGAGGGATCTTCAAAGAGCTCATGAAAATCCCAATTATGAAAAATTATGCATAGATTTAAAAATATTTTTGAGCCAAGATAAACTTACCTTTCAATTCCATTTTCCACGAACATTATCATGTGCCCTTGTGTGCTGAGCTCTGTGGGCCATGCAGTCTATGTTGCACTTCCTCAACTCTGCTGTAGCATGAAAGTAGTTCTAAGCAATATGGACACAAATTGACATGGCTGTGAGCCAATAAAATTTGATTTCTGAACCCTGAAGTTTGAATTTCATATAATGTTCACGTCGTGAATAGTATTTTTCTTTTGGTATTTCCCAACTATGAAAAAAATGTAAAAGCCATTCACAGCTCCTGGGCTGTGCAGAAATGAACAGGCAGTGACCTGGCTTTGGCCAGTTTGCTGACCCCTGCTTTATGGTCATTCTCAGGCTCTTGAACTGTGGATGACTCCATTGTATTCTGAGGGCATTTATACTGGTTATAGTGAAATCTAAATGATAAACCAAACTGTATTTAAGTATTTTAAAGCTCATTACCATAAAAAGTAACATTTTTTATTGAAATATTTTCTTTTTTTCAAAAAATTATTTATTTATTTGAAAGTCAGAGTTAGAGAGAGAGAGCCTTCCATCTGCTGGTTCACTTCCCAATTGGCCACAACAGCCAGAGCTGTGCTGATCTGAAGTCAGGGGCCAGGATCCAGGAGCTTCTTCTGGGTCTCCCATGCAGGTGCAGGGGCCCAAGGACTTGAGCCATCTTCTACTGCTCTCCCAGGCAATAGCAGAGAGCTGGATCGGAAGTGGAGCAGCCAGGATTGCAGGCGGCGGCTTTACCCACTAGGCCATGGCGCTGGGCCCCCCAGAAACGCTTTTTCTTAAAAATAAGCCTGAGATGTTCCGTGGGCAATTTTCTTGAGTCTATAATGTAACACGGGTCAAAAGGCCATTTGGAGGATGGCAGGAGAGAAAGAACAAAGAGGAGACTTCTCTTAGAATGTGGGGTAATAAGTAATAACACTCGCTGCACTGGTCTTCCCTCTATGGGAGACACAGAGTGAGCACCAAGTTTTCTGACTCTGCTTCTTGCTTGAGGATGTCACGAAGGGCCTTGGTTCCCATTCATCCCCCTCCATCATCCTTCTCCCCAAGGCCACATCTGCACTTGACTTCTTGTTTTGACTCTCGCAGAGAACAGCACTAATGAATCCATCATAATCTCCTAGGCTACCAGGAGTATTTCTGATATCTTCAATTCCCATCTGCTAATGCCCAGGTGCTACCTGGAGTTCACACGTAGGGCGCCCTTCTGTCTTTCTGCAGAATTCCATTTAGATAATGTTGCTAGCCAGATGGGGAAATGAAGCCGTTGGTAAAAAGCTATTCTGATTGTACAGGATTTTTTGTTTGGAAGCAGCTGGAAGCTGGGTGCACAAAGCTGCATAGGTCTGGTAGCTGGGCGGGGCCTGGTGGGAGGAGAGTGTGGAGTCTGGAGCAGGCACGTAATGAGTCTATTGCTAGATGAGCGTGTGGTAAACAGTATGGTTTCATCCTTTCCCCTCTCTTTTGGCCCTGTCTGTATGGATGGTTTCGGTAAGATTCAGAACTCTAAATGCCACCCATGCTGGCTTTCTCTTTGCACTCTGGCTTTGTTCCAGATGACATAGTTTTAAAAGTTTCAGTTTTCCCATCATAAAGACAGGGATGTGGCTCTAGGCATAAAGGCTGAAAGTAGCAGACGTAGGGCACAGATCCTTGGAGATGGAGGAGACTGACATGATCATCCTGCCCAGTGCTTCTCTGGTCTGAGCGTCAGCATCCCCTGGGGGAACTTGATAAAGCTGCATCCCACCCCCAGGGCTTCAGAGCCAGCAGGTGGAGGGCGCTGTGGCGGTTCCTCCCCAACAGCTCTTGGGAGCAAGGGCTCTCAGGTGCGCTGGTCTGGTTGTGCCCACTCACGTGCTAGGCTTACATACAAGAGAGCTGCATGTCAGAGCAACCACGAGTCTTAGGAAGGCTCCCTAGCTAGTGGTCAGAGTCTGAGTCTGGGGTGTTAAGCCAGTTGGGATTTTGAATACTGTGCCAATACCGGGGCGGATGAAGTGCTAGCAGATGTCTCGCACGTGTGTCTGGTGGTGCTTTAGCCATGGTGGTCTGCCACAATTCAGTCGTTTATTTCGGTCTCTCTTTTCAGTGAGTCAAGGTCTCCTAAGTTTTCAAGCTAAACAGGAGTACTGCCTGAAGCCAGAATGCATCGAGGCTGGTAAGTCTTTTCCACCCATAATCCCTGTGCCTTGGGGGAGTGCAGGAGCAAACAGGTGGTATTTTTAGTATGGTGTTTGCTTGAGGCTTACCAAGTATGAAATGGAATTTTGAAGAAATGTTAAGTTTACTTTCAAGTTTCGGTGTGAAGTAGTGGAGCTTAGGTTTCCTGTTTTCTTTTCCTTGCAAACACCCAGCTGTGTGGCGTTACCAGCATTGTTATAAGGAAATGGGAACAGGGCTAGCAAGGCTGAACGGTCTCTCCTCAGACCCAGAGGCAAAGACCTTCGGCAGTCCTGGGGCTCAGCCAGCCACACATTCCTATTTGTCTTAAGCAGCCTTGTGTATCTTGTGGTCAATGAGTTTGACCTGTTTGCCTCTGAGCAGGGATCTTTGGTAAATCCAAGCTTACGCTATTGCTTGCAGTCTGTCTGGGTCCTTCTCCACGTTCCCAAGCAAAACTTCTCTTCAGGCGCGCAGGCTGTGTATCAGCGGGGAGCTGAAGGTGAAGACGAGGGTTTGAAATTGCCTCCGTGTTGCCACGGCTATTAGGTTACCCTCGAGAAAGCAGTGCTCGCACTTGGATTTCTAGGAGCCGGATTCCTGCGCCCACACCCGTTCTTGAAGTGGGCCGGGGTGCTAGTGCATTTTTCAAAGGCAAAGTCGGAGGGGAAGCAGGAGGCCTCTTCACTTTCCTCTTGGCCTTAGCAGAAGAGGTGAATGGATGAATTCAGTAGTATTGATTGCATGCCAGGCACTGAGTAGGGTTTCAGAATCTACCAGTGAGCCAGCTAGGGGAAGAAAGACCATCAAAAACTGGCCGGCGCCGCGGCTCACTAGGCTAATCCTCCACCTGCGGCGCCGGCACCCCGGGTTCTAGTCCCGGTCGGGGCGCTGGATTCTGTCCCAGTTGCTCCTCTTCCAGTCTAGCTCTCTGCTGTGGCCCGGGAAGGCAGTGGAGGATGGCCCAGGTCCTTGGCCCCTGCACCCGCATGGGAGACCAGGAGAAGCACCTGGCTCCTGGCTTCGGATCGGCACACTCGCCAGCCGTAGCGGCCATTTGGGGGGTGAACCAACAGAAGGAAGACCTTTCTCTCTCTCTCACTGTCTAATTTTGCCTGTCCAAAAAAAAAAAAAAAAAAAATCAACAAGCACACAAGGCTATCAGTTCACAGGAAAAATATCATGCAGTGGTACATGTTATGCAGAAGTTTAAACGACTAGAATACTGTGGTAGCAAGGGACAAAATGGTTAGATTGGAAAGTCTCTGGAAGTGACCTAGAATTGGCCCTGAAGGATGAGAAGGGAACTGCTATGTGAAGACTTAAGCAATGGCTTCCCGGGTGAGGGTAAGGGTGAGAGGGTAGAGGTGAGTGGGAATAGCTGGAGCAAAGATTGGCGCTTGGAAGGTAAGGGTAGGTGCAGGAGATAGGGTCAGTAGGGGCCCAGGTGTCATGAGTCTGGGTTTCACTTGTGTGTGCTCAAGAGTGTCTGGAAGGCTTGAAGGACGCAGCACACCTTAGAAGCATTTAAAGAGCTCTCTCTGGAGAGAGAGAGGTTAGAGGGAGATTTCTGGGTGCACAAGAGATGGGAGGAGCAAGCATGGAAGAAGGGCTCCCAGATAGGAGCTTCTTCCCGTAAGCCAGGTGAGACGGGAGGCTGTCTTGAGCTCACGAGATGATGAGGGAGAATGTGGAAGCTGCAAGATACAGGGCAGGCTGCAGGATTAGACTGGAGCTGGGAGAAAAAGTGGATGTTCAAGGATGATGCTTGGATTCCAGGCAGTGGCTGGCTGTGGCATTTATTGAGATAGGAAAGAGGAGAGAGAGCTTATGTACAAAGGTAATAGGTGAGGTGATGTTATTAGAATTCTCTATTCTTAAGTGATAATGATGGTGTGTGTTAAGTAGCAAAACCCTCATATTTGCCCGTGGTCATCCTGAGTGGGTGGCAGAGCTGGACTAAAAATCCCTATCTGACTCCTTTCCGCATTCTCCTTGGTGTCATGAGCCATGCCAGGCAACTCTTTGGCCCTAATCCTTTGTTCTTTTATTATAACTCTAGAGCTACTAGAGTTCAATGACTAGACAGCAATTTCAACTCTTTGACAAAGTTTATTTAGTTTGTTTGAAAGACGGAAAGACAGTGATCTCCTGCCCTCTGGTTCACTCCCCAAATGCCTACAGCCAGTAGTGAAGTTCCTGAAGTCATGGGACCCAAGTACTGGAGCCATCGCCGGCTGCCTCCCAGGACACGCATTAACAGGAAGCTAGGATTTGAAACAAAGCCAGGACCGGATCCCAGGGCACTCCATTAAAAGATGTGGGCATCTCTAGCGGCATCTTACTCACTATGTCAAATGCCAGCCCCCGTTTCACTTTCTTCTCACCCTCGATAGTGATCTTTTCTTCTGTGCTGGTTTGGGAATTCCCAGGATCTCTGCTCCTGTCTCAGGCAGTTAACTCGCACTTTGCTCTGCTTGAGAGAGGATGTCTTGAAGCAGAGTGAGGGGCCAGGTGGGACTATCAGCAGACATGTCTTAAGTTTCCTGTCACCTGGTGCTTTTGCTGTGGTAGGGGTTCTTACAGGTGGGTGCGAAATTGAAATTTTTGAACGGACAAACTTTGGATTTGTGTCTGGACAACTCTATTTACATGGGGGAGGGCTACTTAGTTCATGAATTGTGTTTATCATAAATCATAATAATGCCAGAGTGAAACTCGCAGACTAACGTTTGATGTCACTTTCTGCCAGCTAATGTGTTTGGCTGTGCTGTCCTGTTTTTAATTTTCACATTGGCAACTGGCTTCCTAATGTTGAAAAAAAAATTGCTGGTTGTGCTGTGTCCATAATGACAGGCTCACCAAGGATACAGCCCTCTTTAGTGTAACGTGAGTCTCAGTATGCCCGTGGGGTCTGTGGCGCAGCTGTTGAGTACACACGGCAGCCTAGCCAGGGCCTTCAACAAGAGCTCGTGGGCAGGTGGGGGTGTGCATGTTGAAAGTCAGAGCGTGGAAGCCTTTGATCGCCTTCTCGACCATTTCTGAGCAGGTGCCAACCGTTTGAGATGCCGCCCCTCCATAATTGTCCTTTCCCTGCTCTCTGTGTTCCCTCATCCGAATCCCTTTTTTAAAATAGGGGGCCATACAAAGAATGAGAAGAAGCAAGGGAGGGGCATACTAAAGATAATGGGTAAGAGCGGACATGCTGGCTTGGGTTTGAAGCATGGTCTGGCCACTGACAAGCCTCATGATCCTGGGCTAAGTCCATAACCATCCAAAACCTCAGTTTCACCATCTGTCAAATGAGAATAACATTTCCCACTTGTCACAGGAGTTGTGAGAATGAAATAATAACGATCGCCGTGGTAATTCAGGTCCGCAGTGAGGAAATCCTTAAGCCCACACCCCGAAAACATTGTAACTCCCATCTGGCAAGATCAGAACTGAACTGCATTGTTTTGATGGCAAACCAGATCTTAAATGATGTGAGGCTGTTCTAGACTTGACCCCGCTTGTGAGAATATGCACTTGTTTCTCTGTAAAAACATTAACGTACTGCTTCAGAAATGCAACTCCAGACAGTGCCAAGGTCGTATGCCATCTGTGGTATAGGCCCTTGATTTCCTTTCCAAGATCTGAAAGTCTATGAGCTCTGAAGCATCCGGCCTCACAAGTGTTCATGGAATTGTAGCAGCACACGTTCATCGGTATGACTCACAGGTTTGGCTGAATACGTACACACAGGATGCTCAGCGAAATTGGAATTGCTGATCTGCAAATACTCTTTTGGTGTAAATATGTCTCACGCATTATTTGGTACATGCTTATTCTAAAAATTAGTTGTTTATCTGAAATTCAAATACATCCTGTATTTATATGGCAGTATGCCTAACTCTGTTATAAGGACTTGACATATATTTACTCCTTTTAATTTGCATGAAAATTCTCTAGGGTGCTATTAGTCCCATTTTACAGATGAGGAAACTGAGACAAGGAGCGCTAAGTAAGGTCGCATCGTTTTTGCCTGATACTGTGGCCATTCAAAACCCACTGCTCAGACTCTGGAGTTGATGATGATGCCATATTCCTTGAAAACAGGAAATGCTCAATGCTAGTGATTTGATCATCATCATCTTTAATAATAATACCCTCTCCTCTGAGCCCTGATTAAACCTGAAAAGTCAGGCTGGTATCCGTCTAGGGCATAAGGTGGCCACAGACCGCCTAACAACTAACCTTGTAGTGACTTGAGAGGACACAGTTTGAACTTTCCCAGCATTCCCTCGTCATCGTGTTTCTTTCATCACAGTAAAACTGTCTGGTGTTCTCCACGGAGCTTAGTAGGGGAAAGGCCTTTTGGTGCCTTGACAGCTCTGGTCCCTTGCAATTTCAAAGAACAGTTCCCTGCACGAAGAGCAGCCCCATGCCTGGTTGTGAGTGGGGAATGATGAATTGCGAGGCCAAAGCTGGAGTTTGCTCACCCCGTGGGCTCCTTTCCAAATGCTGTGTGAGTGATGGATCTCTCCCACCTTTGGATCAGGACCGAGGTCAGAGCTGACCTTGCACATTTCCCCGGTACCTTCATGAAAACTGAGGAGGTGGGGAAGGATATGTGTGAGGGCTGAGGGATGGGGGATGTTTGGGAAGGAGGCCAGAAAACAATGCGCTTGTGTAACACTGCGCGTGAGGACTCCCCTGTGTGACTGTAAATATTGTGTGAGACTGAGGCTTGTGTGACCTGTGTCCCTGAGGTGTCATGCAGCAGAGCCATTCTGTGGCTGACAGACGATAAATATGAACCAAAAGAAGATTTTTGTATGTCCTAGCATATCTTCATATTAAATATTAAGGTAAAATAGTAGCAATAGATAGAAATGTAATGAGAGACAACTGAATTAGTTCTGGAAAAACAAATGAATTCAGCCAATTTGAAATTAATCAGACTTCTAAACCAACGTTTTTCCCTAGCTTTTGAGAGGAGAGGTTTGTAAATAGCTGGGGGAGGGGGAGAGGGAACGGGTTGAAGTGTTAGAGAAACTGGGATGTGTGCATGTTGTTCATTTACATGAGTACAAAAAGCTGTTTGACGTTTTCATTGAAAGTCTAGTCCAGACACATAGCTGGGGTTATTTTTAAACCTGGAGGAACCACACATGTGACCAAACTGTAAGATGTGTATCTACATTTATGCAGATTTGTACTTTTTAGAGGCAATTCATTCATATTTAGCTGAAACTCATTGGGTTTTCATTACTTTAAACAGAAAAGTATTTTGGCATTAATTACAGTATGAAAATTACCCAGAATGTCATTAAAATATTGGCTGCCTTTTTTAAAAGAAATCATTTGGTGCATATATTTGTGCTAGTTGGAGTGGTAGCCAGCAATTGTATGGTATTTGGAAGAGAGTTGAAATTCAATAGGAATTTTGGGACCTTCTCATTTTTGTAATGAAAGGTTTTATTTAAAGTTCATGGATACATATTTGTATACAAATTTTCTACCTAACGACTATCTTCCATATGAAATTGTATATGGGATTATGAAAGGGGGAAAAGAGTTTAGATTGGTGCAGTGTATATTTCTGTTCCTTTATCTGAACAGCTCTCCCCCTAGAATTGGGCGGCTCATTGCAGAGCACCCCACTTTGGCCCTCCTCTGGCTATGCTCTCCCTCACTCAGCCCCACAGACTCTTTTCTACATCCTGGAATTCCTGCCAGGTGGCCCAAACCCCCTCCCAGGGCCTGTGTGGGTCCCTTCTAGAGCTTCATCCCTATGAGAGCTGCATCGTCGAGTTTCAAGGGGTTCAAGAATTCGTGCTTGTCCTTCCAGGTCTTTCTGAAGACATACTGTAAGTGTCTCTCTCTTAGACAATGAGAGAGACAGAGAGAAAGGTCTTCCTTCCGTTGGTTCACCCCCTAAATGGCCGCCACTGCTGGCACGCTGCGCCGATCCGAAGGCAGGAGCCAGGTGCTTCCTCCTGGTCTCCCACGCGGGTGCAGGGCCCAAGCACTTGGGCCATCCTCCACTGCCTTCCTGGGCCACAGCAGAGAGCTGGACTGGAAGAGGAGCAACCGGGACTAGAACCCGGGGTGCTGGCACCGCAGGTGGCAGATTAGCCTAGTGAGCTGCGGCGCTGGCCGTGTGTCTCTTAAATTTAGATGACACATTTGCCTTTGCTGTGAACTACTGCAAGCCTCAGAAGCCTGAGACAACAGTGACTTAATATTGGTCATTATTTCATGGGTCTAGTGAGTGGTTTCTCTGGTCATATTGCCCAGGCTCATGCATGTGGCTGTGTTCAGCTGCAGGGTTATCTGAGCTAGAAGGACCATAATGGCTACAGTGGGTCCTGGCTGCTGCTTCTCCAGGTGACCTCTTGTATCCATGGAGACTTCTTCAAAGGACAGTCTGAGGGCTGCATTTGAAGGGAGTTAACGTGGAAAGTGCATGGTCTTTTAAGGCTGGCTTTGAAACTCACAAAATGTCACTCCTGCCAGTTCTCTTAGGTAAAGCAAGTGGCAAGGTCAATAGAGATTCAAGATAGGGGAAATAGACCTTACAAGTTGATGGGAAGAGTCGCAGACTCAGCAGAAGGACAAGAGGAGTGGAAGAAAGAGTCACACATAATTGTAAACAATTGGCGTATTCCATTTGTGTTCTTGCCCCATGCCCTACAGATACTAGGGATAGGTCTGCAAAAACCAGTAACAATAATACCCTACAACTTTAATCTACTCACTCTGAATGCAATCATTTCATAGCATGAAGTTGATTCAGAGAGTCATTTGAGGGGAAATATAAAAGCCAAGGTCTTGGAACTGGTTGATATGAAATCGTTGTTTAATTTGGAAAAGAACAGTACACAATGTGCAGTGTTTGTCATTAATCCTATGATTTTCTTTTCAAATAGCTGCTGCCATCTTGAGTAAAGTAAATCTGTCTGTGGATCCTTGTGATAATTTCTTCCGGTTTGCTTGTGATGGCTGGATAAACAATAATCCAATTCCTGAAGATATGCCAAGCTATGGGGTTTATCCTTGGCTGAGACATAATGTTGACCTCAAGTTGAAGGGTAAGTTTCCACTGGAGTTTGGTGGTGTAGTTTATGGAGAGCAATATTTGACATGAAAAATTTAGTTTCGTATTTGTAGCATGACTGTCCATTTTTAACTACACTAAATTTGTTTCTAAGAAATTTTTAAATGAAAATTTCAAAAGCAAGCTTCTGGAATTCCAGTCTCTCCCATATCTCAATGCAAGCCTAATAATGTAGGTCATTGGTTTGTGTTTCATGGTACTACTAAGTTGTACTGCTAGAGGATAAATAGTATTTGATTGAAACTGAGAGCAAAGGAATAGTAAATGAAAACTATTTGTGTTCAGCATAGACCTCTTTTCTTGTTCATCATGTCCTGGATTTTCAAGGCTTACAAAATGTACTTAACACCTCATCATCTTTTGACACCACTTTTGGGAGCTCTGGATGACCTATAGTTGTGATACTGTTCCTGTTAACTCCGAAGTTGGCTCTAGGGAGACTCAGTTTCCTCCCATGCCTCTTTAGCAATACCAGCTCACACACACATACTCATATGTCTGTACCTGAACACACACGCAAATGATCACACATTTCCCCTTGCCAAGGCTGGAAATGTCTAGTACCTAAAGGTTATTCTGTTTGCATTGGATTTAATTTTTTTAAACATTTTCTTATTTGTAGAGAGACTGACACAGATGGTTATTCACTCCCCAAAGCTCATGCAATCAGGCCAAAGCCAGGAGCCAGGAACTCTGTTCAGGTCTCCCACATGGGTGACTGGGACCCAAGCACTTGAGCTGTCACCTGCTGCCTCCCAGAGTGGGCATTAATACGGAGCTGGAATTGGAAGCTGAATCAAGACTTGAATCCAGGCATTGTGATCTGGAATGTAGGCATCCCATGTGGCATCTTAACCAATGCAGCAATGCCTATCCCAAATCTCATTTTTTTTGTTAGGCTGTTAGAGAAAGCCAATTCAGGAGGGAAGTAGGAAGATTTCAAAGCCAGATAAGGTAATTGTTTTGAGAAGGCAAAAGTAGTATTTTTTTTTCTTCATTTTGACAACTGTGAATTATACCATGTAACTGGTATTCATTAACCCCTACAAAGAATTTCTGAGAAGTTATAAAAATTGAGGCCTTCTTTGTGTTGCAGTGGGTTAGGTTGCTACCTGCGATGCCAGTTTTTCATACGAGTGCTGATTTGAGTCCTGGCTGCTCCACTTCCAACCCAGTTCCCTGCTAATATAACTGGAAAGCAGTGGGAGATGCACTAAGTGCTTGGGCCTGGCCCAGGCTCAGCTGTTCAGACCATCTAGGGAGTGAATCAGCGTATGGGAATGAACCAGTGTTTGGAAGATTGATCTCTTTCTGTCTCTCTCTCTAACTCTGTCTTTCAAATATGTAAATAAATCTTTAAAAAAGGAATTGTTATTCTTCCCCATTTCCATTTTCTCAAGATTACAAGTATGTGAAGATTAAATATTTATCAATTTATGTATATATGTACTTCATAACAAGTGAAACTACTGTGAAAATAGATACCTATTGTCAAAAGTAAGAAAAATATGCTTAAATTTTACAACTAAATGCAAGTCACATGGACTTAAATTTTCCGTTAAGCAAGTTGAGCTTAGTATTGATAAGACTGACCTTCCTAACCCAACAGATGAGATTTTCTTACTATAGAACCATACGAATGAATCTACTAATACATATTTCCCTATAGGACATGAATTCATTCTTGTCCATTTCCTCGTTCTCTTCTATGACTTTTCTTCCTTGATAGATGTGCATATATACACACAATCATGCACAGAAAATATCGCAGAAAGATAAGAAAAATACAAGATTTCCAGGTAGATAGATGCTGGAAGCACTCACACTAATTTATCATTACTTAAAAATACTTTCAGAGTTCTTGTTAAAGATTTGTTTATTTGAAAGGCAGAGTTACCAAGAATCAGGGAGATAGAGATGGAGAGAGAGAGAGATCTTGTATCTGCTGGTTCACTCCCCAAATGGCTGCAACAGCCGGGGCTGGGCGAGGCTGAAGCCAGGAGCCAGGAGCTTCTTCCAGGTCTCCTGAGTGGGTGCAGGGGCCCAAGGACTTGGGCCATCTTCTACTTCTTTCCCAGGCCATAGCAGAGATCTGGATTGGAAGAGGAGCAGCCGGGACTAGAACCGGCTCGCGTATGAGATGCCGGCACTTTAGGCCAGGGCATTAACCCGTTGCGCCACAGTACCGGCCCCTGTATACATATTTTATATCTTTATCTAAATGTATCCTTACACTAAAATTCCATAAAAGGAACTATTAGATTGAAAGAGCATTTGCAGTTGAATTTTTGGTTCACATAGCCAGATTTCCATGTAGAAAGTTTATTTCTAGGTTTTTATGTATTTTCTTATGTGTTGGAACGGTATTTTTTCTCCATCAGCTCTTTTGTGTGTGTGTCATCAAGTAGGGATCAGCATACTATGACCAGGGGGCCAAATCCAGCCCGTAGCCTGTTTTGTAAATGAAGTCTCACTGGAGCACAGCCACATCCGTTCATTTATGCAGTATCAGTGTCTGCTTTTGTGCTGCAATGGCAGAGTTGAATAGCTGCTACAGAGACAATGTGGCTCACAAGGTCTAAAACGTTTACTCTATGAGCTTTCTGGACCAAGTCTGCCAACTCCTGAACCCAATATAAAATGAAGCATTGATATATTTATATTAGATACAATTAAGCTTGTCTTATTAATAACTTTTTGGTGGCTTCTTTGGGATTTTATAGATATTCATAAGTTTAAGATATAATTTTGTCTGTTTTAAAAATTGTGTTGGATCGTGCTTATAAAACAGGATTGGATAATAGCAGTAATAATGGGAGTAATTTTCTTATTCTTAGTTTGGGTGGGAATACATCCAGTTTTATTCCTTAGTAATATATTTTAAGTTTCTGGTAGTTATTCTTTATTTTCTGTTGTTCCTAGTTGGCAAAAAGATCATGCTTCAGAAAAATGCTTCTTTGTTGTTTAGTGAGAGACTTAGATGGACTATACCTGTCGGTGGCTTATTTTCTAAGATGTTGCTAAAATTGAATAATCAAGTATTATTGCATATTTTCCTATCTATATTTATTACTATTGTTCTGTGGTTTTTGTGTGCTAAGTTGTCAAATTCTTTTTCAAAGATTTATTTATCTGGCCGGCGCCGCAGCTCACTAGACTAATCCTCCGCCTTGCGGCGCCGGCACACCGGGTTCTAGTCCCGGTCAGGGCACCGGATTCTGTCCCGGTTGCCCCTCTTCCAGGCCAGCTCTCTGCTGTGGCCCGGGAGTGCAGTGGAGGATGGCCCAAGTGCTTGGGCCCTGCACCCCATGGGAGACCAGGAGAAGTACCTGGCTCCTGCCATCGGATCAGCGCGGTGTGCCGGCTGCAGCGCGCCGGCTGCGGCAGCCATTGGAGGGTGAACCAATGGCAAAGGAAGACCTTTCTCTCTCTCTCTCACTGTCCACTCTGCCTGTCAAAAAAAAAAAAAAAAGATTTATTTATCTATTTGAAGTCAGAGATACACACACAGAGAGACAGAGACAGACATGGGGAGAGGGGGAGGGAGACGGGGAGAGGGGGGAGGGAGAGACAGATCTTCCATTCGCTCATTGACTTCCCAAATAGCCACAATAGCCAGGGCTGGGACAGGCCAAATTCAGGAGTCGGGAGCTTCTTCTGGGTCTCCCACTTAGGTGCAGGGACCCAAATACTTGGGTCTTCTTTTGCTGCTTTGCCAGGCACATTATCAGGGAGCTGGATTGGAAGTGGAGCTTCTGGGTCTCAAACCAGCGTCCATATGGGATAGCAGCATCACAGGCAGCAGCTTTACGCACTATGCCACAACGCCAGCCCAAGTTTGTCAAATTCTATTCTCAAGGTTATGCTAGCCCCTTACAATGGAGTAGGAGGCTCCCTGTATACTTCTGTGCTCTGGGGAAGACAAAACTCAATAAATACCAAGTCTTTGTGTGACAAGTACAGTAAATGACAAAGTCACAAAGTAATCATGCTGCTCTGGCTTCAAGTGTTGAGAGCAAATGATGGAGTAAGGCTTCTCGGTTTTTAAAATTTGAGAGGTAGAAGTAGAGAAGGAGGGAGTGCGAGGGAGTGAGCTTGTTCAGTCCTCAAATGACTGCAGTAGTGAGCACTGGTCCAGGCCAAATCTGTGAGCTGAGAAGTCAACGCAGATCTTGCACCTGGATCATAGGGGCCCAACTACACAAACCGTCAGTGCTGCCTCCCAGGGTCTACTGAGCAGCAAGCTGGAATTAGGAACCAGGGCCAGGCATCAAACCCAAGTTATCCTATATGGGACATCGATGTTTTAACAGACATCTTAACCACCAGGCCAAGTGCCTGCCCCACATCTCTTAAAATTAGTGTTACCTTGTACCAGGTGTGTTTGAAATAGAAAATGTTAGTTTTTTGAGTTATCTCAAAATAAACCATTTAAAGTTAGAGGAGTTGAACAAACTGCACAAGGAACTCCTATTGTACCCTATGCCCAGATTTCCCAATTGTTACCTTCTTGCTATATTTGCTTTATTGTATTTTATCATTCTCTATCTACAAATATATATTGTTACATTCTCTCTATATTTACATTTATAGATAAAATAAGAAATCTATAAATGTATAGATATTGCTATAGACAGATATGTATCTGTCTATATATCTATAATATATACTTTTTTTGAACTCTACAAGTGTGTTTCAGATGATCGGATATTCTTAAGGTATATAAATAGAGCTTTTCAAATATCAAATGTATTATTTCTTAGATGTTAAATTTTAAAATTTAACATCTATCTATTGATACAATCTAAATCTATGTGTCTACCAGTCTGTTTACCTGTTCATCCAACCATTCATCATTCCATTGAGATAATTCATGCTCATTGTAGACCAACCATAAAGAAACATACGTCAGTATTACCACTCAACAATAACAAGTTTTTAAATGGAAATATATATACCAAATTATATAATATA